GGCTTTAAAACCTTAGGTTTACCTATTTTACACACTCAAAAACATTGTCTAAATTAATCACATTGTCCAACACCCACAAAGGGTAAAAGATATATAACAGAATTTTTAAAGCTGAAAAATCATCTTACTTGTCCACAGTTACTAAACAAGCCAGCAAGACCCTCCTCAGTCACCTAAATCACAAGGCACAGTTGTGTTAGATTTTTTTTACCTTTTATTCTTACATGTACTTTTAAAAGAGTGTAACAAACTTACACTCTGGTCAATGTCAGAAACATATACTGTTCTTCTAATACTATCCTCTCTCTCAGCCTTAGAAATTCTTCCATTTAACCTCCTCCTCCCTTGGCTATAACCGTTTCTTTTCTGTAATCACAAACATGATCAAATTTTACACATGCAAAACCATTCAATCAAAATTAGGCTTTTAAAATAACAAAAAGTCACATTTAAATCATCAGATCAATCCACATTTATACCTTCCGGTTATTGTCATCCTTCTTGAGATCATGATCAAATTCTTCACCGGGTTGATTCTTTTTAGCCACGTCAGCCGACAGAATTTGATTGTCTTTCCCACTATGATTGTTCTTCTTGGTGTTGTAGTAAGAAGGGAAAAACTCCTTTGCCAAAGGATTCAGTTTCTTGAACATGGCCACAAGATTCTGCATATCTAACTCGGATTCAGGTTTGAGCTCAGACTCTTCTTTGGAAACTGTGATCGAGATTTTCTCAGTTCCATCACCAATGGTATTTTCGCCATCGCTCTTGACACAAATGTCATGAACATCTTTGGCAACATCAATGTACTTTTCAGTGTGTACATTCTCAGTGATCACAGCCATTGGATCATTCTCAGTGATCGCAGCCATTGGATCAGAATGGACAAAACTTATTCGAATCAAATACTTATTTAAAACTTTGAGCAAAGATGATGAGAGTAAAATTGAAAACGTTTGATTGATAATGTAGATATATGTATACAAACAGGAGTTGAGTAAAAAAAAATGTAATGATCAGCTCATTTGGGGAGAGTTTGCGATCATAGAGAGCTTTCTCTGTTGTGTAGTTATGGTGATGAGCGAAGTGAGGAGCTGAAGTAAAAGAAAGGGATGATGCTTCCGTTTTGGCCGCTATCTATTTTGGCATTTTTAGACGTTAAATTTCATAATAGTGAAAGAAAAAAGTTTATTCTTGTTGTAAGTGACTAATTTTAATTATTCTTACATCCCTCTTTATGCTTTTAAAAAAAAATCAAAATTAAAATGTCTCAGAGTCTGTATTGTTGGCATTTCAATGTAAGCCGAGTCAAGTAAATTTCATATTTTATTGTATAAAGAACCATATAAAAGTGACAAAATGGACCATGCTTTTATTTTTATTCCATTCCCTGATTATATTTTTATTCTTATTTTTTTGTAATTTCATTTTGTTTTATTACATTTTTCTTTCCAAAACAACTTTTTTCATATAGACTCGTTAAATAGTTGAAAAATAAAATAGACTTGTTATAAATAACTAATAAGTCCGTCGCCTGCTGCTACTACTGCATAAATCTTTGGGGTTTGTTAGGATTTTTATCTATTTTTTATGAAAAAAAAAAGTTTAAAATATATATATGTATGTTATTCTGAAATCCCGGCGTTCGATTGTTGAAAATTAATTTTATGATTCAACAACAGAACCCGCAGTCTTCGTCGTAAATATATAAAGCTTAATGTACTTTTAACATTAAACTTTTTCTGAAAAGAACATTAATAATTTTTAAGTAATTATTTTCGCTTATTACATTTTCACGTTTGAATGATACATCATCAAATACAGTTTACTCATGCGTTTTATATATTTTCAAACTAGTGATATTTAATACCATTGCGTGATTTTAAAGATGGTTGGAAGAAAATATAAAATTACTGTCTTCAGTTAGGTTGTAAGGTTGCATTCCGATTACTAATTAATTAGGTGGGTTTACTTTGTAAAATGATGGTGGCCACTTTCGCGGTTCTTTATTCAGTGAATAAAGTTTTATGAATAACAAAAAAAAAACTGCATAAAGAAAAGAATATCTACTATATTATCAGAAGTATAAAAAAATTTCTTGTATTTTTTAAACTGATTATTTAGAGTTTCTTAACTTTCTTTTCTCATACTTTATCTAATTAATAATCCGATTTTGGATAAATTCAATAAGTCATGTCCAAAATAGGTATGGAAAAATGATTTACAAAAGTATATACATATTGTTAAAAAAAAATATTTTTTCTTTAAAAACTAAATTTTAACAATTCTTTTTCTGTAAGAAAAATAATTGTGTAATTTAGAGTTTTTCTATATACATTTGTTAAATTTTATTGTATTTTATTATTTACTAAATAATAAACATTTAAACATGTTAAATAAATTATAAGAAATATATGACACATTCGCCAGTTAAAAACAAGTAATGAAATTGTCACTTTTATATAGTACAACATGTTTTGAAAATATAATAATAGGCAATACATGACATGGATAAAAAAAATTTATAAAACAAATAAAATTTAATATTTGTTTGAATCCGCAGATCAAAATCTAGTTTTTTTTAAAATGGATAAATTCTATTGAGACACATGCCTATTGTGCATTGTGGCATCGGTTCAATGATGACCATAGGCGGGCCTATTTGAGGTCAAGGTGGGTCAAGTGATAAATTTGATTCTCTTTATAGTTTATAAGTGCTTTGGATTTTAAACCAGTTCATCTTCCGTCAACAACCCAAATTACATGTGAAGTTGTGGATTGGGTTGTTGACACCTTCCGCAGATTCTTCTGTCAACAACCCAAATTACATGTGAAGTTGTGGATTATTAAGTGTTTAACTAGGACTAAGTAGAACTCTGTGCCTTACTTTGTCTAACATGATGGATCAGTAAAATGAATGGTTTGATCATCCAACACTTAAGTAGGGTTAAAACAGATAAACCCCAATCCGGTAAAACATAAAGCGAATAACATTATTGTAAGAGCTAGACATTTGAATACAAGGGAGAAATTGTCATATTTGTTATAGTCTTCATTTTAAGTGTTTGTAAGCTGGTAATGTCATGTTTGACTGCAAAGTTATGTTATAAAAAAATTTACAATAATATCACATGATGATAACAAGACATATAACTAATTCTCTTAAGTTTTTCTTTTTACAAAACTAGTTATCTTAATTTTATAAATAAAAGGTAGGTAAATATGACAAAATACTAACTTGCATTTCAGTATCTATGATTGCAATAATATTTAAAATGTTTCTCCCAGTTGCAAACAAACGACCGGACATGTCACACCAATGGAAGGATCAGTTTCATAAAACCTCTTAGACAATTTCTAATGTATTTCTCTATTTTTATTTCTAAATAAAAGAATTCTATAATAGAGGTAAGTTTTATTCCAATGTATTTTTTTAAGATAGAGATTCTACCGTTCGAGGCCCATTGAGAACTCATCAGTTATTCCCCAGAGACTCAGTATGAATGGTCGAACGAGGAATATTATTTATGTTGGGTTTTAATATTTGAGCCAAGGGTTATATATATGGGCCAACATTTATTATTTCAGCAAAGCTCTATGTATATGTAGGAGCTTATTTTTTAAGTCGACATTTCGTTTCCTTTTTCTCCAAAATATATTAAACCAAGTATTCAATTAATTTAATATTTAACATGCCAAGTAAAATCGTTGGTTAACAACCCTTGGTTAAACTCGATAAACTATATAAATATGCTAAACAGTATTTCTGTGCAATTAATTAAATTAGATACCCCATTAGAAATTTTTTTATTTTGGTAAAATCCCATTAGAAAGTTGCTAAATAGTATTATTATTTTGATGTAATTTTATTTTAAATCATCTACTAAATGTACTACATGTGTATATTCCACCGTTTCAACTAGAAACGGCTAGAAAATGCCAAATTTACAAACGTATCAAACCTTTTTTTAACGTATCAAACTTTGTTCCGAGGCTTCGAGCTAGCAAAATTATAATTGAGTTCCTTTTTTCCATTTCTCTTGCAAACCATCAAGTTTCTAAGAAACTTCCTTCAACATTTATATTCTACGAAAACAATTTTTCATAGTTAAAGAAGAATTGACTGAGTGGTTGGTGAAACACTGTACTAACGTGAGTACGTGGTCTATCGTCTTCATTGCTTTTACCGAAATGCATGAAATTGCTTTTGAGTAAATATGTCTATTCAACCAAACTTAAAAATGTACGTATTTAAAAAATAATTTATGATCATAATGAGTATGTTAGTACCATCGTTGCGTTATTAATTAGCTTTAAACTCAAGAAATGTAGGTTTCGAGTCTTGGAATAGGTGATTTATTAACAACTATTAACTTAATGGTAAGAATACTTACAAAAAATCATTTATGGTACAAATAGAATAAAAATAATATTATTTGACAAAAAAAAAATGTTTTTTTTTTGTCACTGGACAATAAAAAAATGTTATTTTTACAAAAACTGGCAACTGCAATAGGAATAAAAACGTTTCACATGCATCAGTAAGCAATTTTTTTTTCATCGCTACGTAAATTTATTTAAAAATTTTGTAGAATTTACAAACAACCCATAGTTTTGTGGGTAATAGTACAAAACATAATAACACATGAAATAATAGATGTCAATAGTCAAGTTTATAGGATTCCGTTGGCCAAATAATAAAAGCAATCAGAAAGTTTCAACTCATCGAGTGCGGTCGGTTAAAGCGCTTTTTGATTGACCGTTATGAAACGCGAAAACGAAATCACACCTTGCCACGTGTCTGTCATTTTCTTGGTGAGACGGACACGTTTTCTCCAACGTGTCTTTATTCTGTCGGAATGCACTGAATGTTTACATATCTTTTAGTTAACGCCTTAACGGTATCGTACATTTGGCGGCAGTTTTGAATACTTGGAGAACGTGTTCCTTTTTTATTTACTGCTTGATATAATGATGTAATATGATATTTCAAGCTAGATTTTTTTTTTGTTAAAAGGTTTAATTTTTTTTTAAATAAATTCTATCATTGCTCCGATTGATCTTGGGAGGAATACATTTAGTGATACAATGTGAACTAACTACCATACCACCTGACCCGAATTTGAAATACCTTCCAACTAATGCTAAAGATTGACTCAATCATTTGTTACAATCCACCATGTAAATCACTTGAGCTGAAATCTACACCTAAATTAATTAAATAATGATAATTTAATTCCAAGCTTGTCTTGCAGGCTTGTATTATATTTGCTATTTAAGCATACACGGTTGGTTAGTTAGTATATATATATATATATATATATATATTTTTTTTCTCTCTACCAATCTAGGATTAATTATATTAGGTATAAGATTATATTCAATTTAAGAGATCTTTATCTTATTTTATCTTGTTTTGTTTAATTTTTTTTTGATCAAAATTTTGTTTAATTTAGAACCTTAAAGTAAGTAGATATTCAATCGTTTGCACCGATTGGACAAGACGGTGGGGAAAAATAATTCAAAAGTTAAAATAAGAAGAAGGGATATGAAGGGAGTGGGGGCAGAAAAAGAAATTGGATTTGGAACAGAGCTATCAAAATGAAAGGAATGCATGAATCAATGAAAGTGAGGTAGTGAACGTCTACATCTCTTATTTTACGCACTTTCTTTAATCATAATTTATTCTGTCCTCTCTCTGGAGAAAAGTCGAAACAATGTGGAGGTTATGTTCGTTTGTATTTAATAATAAAAAGAAAATGACTATATATATTGGAGTGATTAATCAAATATCCAATAGAACTTGGAGTTTTTAATCTTCTGAAAAATATCTGAATTCAAAAAGATATGTTAATATGTACTCAACTAACAT